AAGCTGATGTAATCGCTGCTAAGTATTGAATTGGCTAGTAGATATTAGCTTCTTTTGCATATTGTAACACAGATTTATAAATTGTCAGTCATCTGCATCTGCCACCTGCATCATGAAGGACCCCACTCACCCAGCGCACACATCTTTTGCCCCGCTCCCCTCAGGAAGGAGGTTGAGGAGCATTAAGTGTAGAACCACTAGACTGATGAACAGCTTCTACCCTAAAGCTGTTAGACTCATGAATCTCTAATCAGGATAATCACTGTGAAAAATCACATCATGTTGCTGCTGATCTGTTTCATGCTGATGTGTTCATTCGTACTCATCTGCTCACACAGACTCATGTTTGTGCTGCTGTTCATTGTATTGTTTTTCTGTTACTAGTGCTTAATGTGGTTTTAGTTAATATTTTTCTTAGTTCATATCTTAGATCTTATTACTCTTTTTCTTTTACATTTTATACTTTTGTTGGATGTAACTGGGACCCTGTGTACACAATTTCGTTCCACCACATGTACCACATGTGGTGTGTATGACAATACAGAACATTGAATCCTTTCTAAAATTTAGCACAAATTATTAGATAGTACAATCTGGTATCACATCTGATTTCTGTAATATTTATATTGTGTAAAAGTGTTTTTTTTTCTTTCGGCTGCTTTCTTCTTCAGGGGTCGCCACAGCAAACTAACTCGCATGAAGACTTGGCAATTATTTTTATGCCGGATGTCCATCCTGACGCAACCACAAACCACCGAGCTACCACAGCCCTCTGTATGGAGCAGAGCGCTGCCATGTAGGGCACCAAGGGGGGGGGGGGGGGGCAGATGGTGGGGGTTAAGGGCCTTGCTCAAGGGCCCAGAGTGGGGCAAATGAGGGTGGAGTCAGGTGTGGGTGCTTCACCTTTCCCACACACATTTTGATGTTGTCAGTCCAGGGAGTTGAACCGGTGACCTTCTGACCACAGGCCCACCTACTCTAACATTTACGCCATCACTTCCCCATTTACATTGTGTATTATAATATATATTTGACTACTTCTAGGTTTCCATTAGATAGACATGACCTATTGAGAAGATAGTTAGCAAATAACAATATAGACAAGTTTCATCCTTCAGTGTCTGGGTATTTAGTCAACATTTTCCCAGTGTTGACTACAGAACAGGAAAATAACAATAAATATACATTATTCCAATACTTGTATCCAATACCTTTTATATGTGAGTTCTGAGTTGAGTGTGTTATAAACTGACTTCAGATCTACTTTAGATAATCAATACATATAAATGATGTGTTATCCTTACGAATCATCTAGCTGTTTTACATGGCTGTTGAATGAAATTAACATTAAATTTAAAGTCTATGAATTTATAGTAATGAGATTACAAATAATTTGTGACACAGATCCATTTGAGTTTGCTGTTAATCAAATAGTTTGTCGGCTGTGAACTGTTGTCCTCTTTGGTCGCCATCTTTGCTCCTCCATGATGTCACAGATCATCACAGTGGACGGGATAGGAAGTGTCCCTCTAGTTGTCTGATATAACTATATGTTAGTACTATATCAGTCCTGTCATCAGTCACAAAACATGGAGAAAAGACTTGGTTCAGGCTAGGCTAATGGCTAGGCTAATAGCTAGGCTAACGACTAACCAAATGAGGGGCATCCAACAAAGTTGAGTCAGGTCCTCTGGACGGTTTCTTTTTGTTGAAACGTTTTGTCTTTAATCGAAAAGACTTCATCAGTCCGAGGAGCCACAACAAACTCAGTCTTATAAACAGCACCTTCACATAGTGGGTCAACCAGTTTGATGGTGCTTGGGTGGTTTTTGTAGTCCGCCCTCTCCCCTGCTGACTCGTTTGAGGCAGTCATGGCCAAAGTGATTCAACATACTCTGTATGTAGGCTTATATTTTGAATCACTTTGGCCATGACTGCCTCAGATGAGTTGGCAGAGGAGAGGGCGGACTACAGAAACCATCTGCGCACCATCAAACTGGTTGACCCACTATGTGAAGATGCTATTTATAAAACTGAGTTTTTTGCAGCTCCTCGGACTGATGAAGTCTTTTGGATGAAAGATGAAACATTTCAACAAAAAGAAACCATCCAGAAGACCTGACTGAACTTTGTTGGGTGAAAAATGTACCATATTTTCCGCTGTACATGTCACACTGCACTATAAGTGGCATCAGTCCAAATATGTCTAATAAAGTGGAAAAATCCATAAATATTTCGCTTCGCTGTATACATCACATATATGTGTCACAGCTGATGCGTCGCATTTGTTATACGTCACCTCTGATAACCTGGAAATGTGGGCCGGTGTTGTGCCAAAAATCGATTGGCTGACAAATGGCGACTGCGGGAGCGTGCACGAGAGGTCTTAACAAAAATTTAACAAGATCAACACTTAAAAACAATTATTTGTTTGCTCAAAATTATAGTAAAGGTGTGTCTCAGTGTAACTTTTGCTTAAATGCACTTTGATGGTCAAATTAGTTGCATTTCAAAAGCTGATACGTGGAAGTAGGAACACGCAGAGGGACAAGTCACTGCACATTTCTTTGAAATTTAACAAGATAAATACCTAAAATCAATTTGTTTGCTTGACTTTACAGCAAAGGTGTGTCTCAGTTGAACTTTTACTTAATAAAAAGACTTTAACGGTCAAATCAGCTGCATTTTGCCGGGGAGGCGCAGTGAAATGTAGCTGAATTTGACGGTCGCTCCAAGCAGCAAGCAGAACGAAGGTGGCAGGCTATGGCAAGCCGATTGTGCCATTAATAGCCACTTGTATCTACTACACGACACAATGGCATACCATACTACTAAAGTGCCATTTAGTGGCTGAATATGATAGTGTCCAATATTTTCGGTCAGAATGAATGAAAACGGTCATATCTCAGCCAAAAATTGGCTTATAAATATGGGAAAAATCCATAAATATGTCGCTTAGGTGTATAAGTTGCAGGGCATGCAAATTATGCAAAAAACCCGAGACTTATACAGCGAAAAATACGGGTAGCAGTTTATTTTTAGCTAATGTAGCATTCTTCACACAGGTATGTCATTTTTGAAAAAGACACTTTATAAGCTTGACAAACCATTTAAAACGAGCCCTTGTCTGGCTTACCATCAGCCTAGCCTACACGAAGTCTTCTGTCCTTATCGCCAATAGTCTGTGCTCTATGACTGATGTCACTGCTGATAAGGTGTTAACTATTAATAACTATTAGAAAGAACATCACCTTAAAAAAGATAAGACTATGCTTTCAACAACTACTGCCCAAATGAAGAATTGATGGCACATTAAATGAAGAACAATGTCACAACAGATACTTACTCAGTCGAGTGTCAATCATCTACAGCATTGGTCCTCACGATCAAGTTTGTGCTCTGATCTGAGATGAATCATGCTCTTCATGCAGTTCTACACAGCTCAAATTTAAACCACCTGCCTTTGGTAACAAATGTTCATTCAGGCCGTTTGTGATCAAATGATGATTTATTTCATGAATGAGAGCTGGGTTAAAGATACAATGACAGTCACATTTTCCACACTGTAGTTCAAGAATCACAGTTTTAGTCAATCAGTAAGAGAAAAAGCAGACAACCCATTTCATCTCTTTATACTTTGATAAAATAAGACAAAAAGAGATGTTTCTCTCTTTTCCCAAACACTCTTTCTTTGAAGCTGTAAAATTATCTGAAAACCAACAAAGGTAATAACTCATAACAAATGAAAACTTATTAACTTTTATGATCACCTGATGCCATATTAACACTTGGATAGCACTAAACAAAAAAAAAAAAACATTATTAGTTAAAGTTACTGAAATGTGCATTGGAAGCCAATTTTAACATCCACTAATTTACAACATTAGCACTGTAGAAACTTAATGAGGTATGATGGTACATTGTACATAACTGAAAAATATCCTGTTTCCTGTGTTTTGCTGTTTTACAAGTACACACACCAGACTTACAAATACATTTCAGGGCCTCCTTAACAATGAGCAGCATAAATGCTCCACAGAGAAAGAAAGAGACTGAGCGATATGGGGAAAGAGAGAAACTTAACAAATCCGATGATAATTAAAGCTTTTAAATTAATGAATTTAGTTGATGGCCCTCCTGCACCTCCCTCGCGCTTTATTCTCCCTCCGTCTGTCTTTCGCAACGCCCCACCCCCCATACCCCAACTCACTCTCAATATCACTATCTCTCTTTCTTTCTCTGCAGGTTCACATAAAGACACAAATGCATGTCGGTCTGATCCAAAATAAAAGAGAAAGGAAGATCCAAGTGGTGGAACCGTGATTTCAAATGAAGCACAAATCAAAAGATCTCAGACTAATGACCCCAATGACTGACTTCCAAGTCGGGCTTGGCTTGTGTGGAATTGGTTTTTGGTTCTTTCTCTTTCTCTCTCTCTCTCTCAAATCAATTCTCCTGCAGTCCCCAAGTTCATATCTAGCGTATTGTACGAAGGACTTCGGACAGATGGACTTCAGATGGGCCAATTCAATTTTCCCAGAGCGCTCATAACTCTAGTTAAGCAAGGAAAAGAACACAGTGTCAGAGAGAGAGCAGGGCAAATGAACAGCTGAAAGGGGTGGAGGAGGGACTGATTACCAATTACATTAGCTTTGAGAAATTAGACCAAACACTGACAAAGAGATGATCAGGTTATAGGAATGTTATTGAGAGGGGAGTGGCTAAATTTGGTCTTAGCTCCTCCCCTTTTTGCACACTGCCCCATAGCAAATTCACATTATTTTTTTATCTAAGCACTGATGCCATCATCGATCATTGCTGACACTTTGAACACATTAACTCACGTATAATAAACAAAAATTGAATAGCCAATCAAAGCTCAACAGGAACTGTACCTAAAGTTCAAAGGTTAAAAATGTTTTGGACTGCACAGCTGAAAGTGTCTGCAAACGATCGAGAAAGATGAGAGCACAAAATCTACTGCATCTAAACTGACTGAC